TTAAAAATGACTTTTTTAGACCACTCGAAACACTATGATAGGCTATAAATGTATTTCATATTTTTTGAAATATTGTGATAAGCAATGCATTTGTTGGCTAACATGTGTTTTCTTTACTCGACATAGGAATATTAATGTTTTTATATGGATTGATATGGATGTTTACTTGGCTTGCTTTTGCTGAGACCATATGTATATGATTTTATTTTAACAAATTGGTTAGGATCATAAGAGTATGGCAAATTGATTGGTTAGGACTATATATATATATATGTATGTATGTATGTATGTATGTATGTATGTATGTATGTATGTATGCCTTTGTATGTTTAGGACCATTATTATATGGTTGGGAATATTAATTACAATGCTTTTTTTTTTTGAACATTTCGGGAAGGGTATTTATGACCCTTTGTTTTCTTATAAAATTAGGCAATTTTGGCTTCGACTTATTGCTACCTTATTTTAAAGCTATTAATATAATCCCTCAAAGAAGAAGGAAGAGGGAGGAAGAAAAAGACTAAAGATCGAAGTCTTGGTTCGGTATTTTTCATATTATCTATTTTGTTTACTTATTTTAGGCCTATCAATATCATCTGAATTTCTTGATAGAGTTTGGTATAGAGATTGTCATGGCTAGGTACTTTGTTCTACCTTATTTATTCCTATCGTTATAGTTATCGCCAACCATGTCTTAAATTAATGCATGCTCATAGTTGTTATTGCTTCCTAATATAGCATTGGTGCTTGTTATGAGTTAGAAGGATAGCATCTCATAAGTGCTACAACTTACAACTCAATCCCTTAGAAAGTAAGCTTTTAATAAAGATGCAAATTTACTCGAGCCAATGAACAAGGCAACACTAAATGGGCTATAGCCTATAGGTTCTCCCGATAAGAATAATTCTCACTTATTTATAGAGTATATAAAAGACAATCGGCTATGACTATGACTTCGGTCAAAAAAAGAGAAAATGCATTAATATGTTGGCACAATATGAAACTTCAACTTCCATAAGTTACCTTAACCAATATGTGAACTTGTTATTTAAAATGTTTATATAAAAGTATACACCAAACAAAGTTAAAAATAAGGTAAGCAATAACGAGTACAAGGAATGTTATATACAAACAGATCTTCTAGCCTTACTTCTTACTTAGTTTAAAGCTAACATTCTATTATGATCATTTGATGATAACATATATCCTAATAACATAAAACCTATAATCGTTGCCAACAAATACCACTTTGCAATAGCTTTCACTTTCTCTCCTATCTCTTTCATGCCAAGCCTCATTCTCTACATTTAAATTTTCATTTCAATGAATTTAGATGCCATCTTATCCATTTCTTCAATCAACTCTTTTTTTTTTTTTTTTTTGCTTTTTTTTTAATTCTAATTAAACTCAAATTCTCCTTTTCAAGTATTTCTACTAACTCCATTCTTTCCTTCAATTCTTTAATGTCAATTACCCCTAGCTTCCTAGTTCTACAGTCGTTGCTCCCTTCTTCAATCCACTTCCAATATCCATAATTATCAACTCGAACTATCAAACAAGATTTCAAAGAACAATACCTTCCAACATAGGCGGGGACATAAATTTCATTTTCAAAAAATAATGCCTTCAAATATAGGCATTAAAGGAAATTTTTCCCCGGGTTCAATTTTGATAGTGAAATATATATGATTGTCTCCATCTTGTACTTATATAAAGGCATCTTGAAACTCGAGAAAGATATTTATGAAGCTTCATCCATGTTGAAACTATTATCTATAGATATTTTAATTATCATATAAATAATTGGTTTGTCCGGGTTGTAGATTTGAATTTTTTTTTTTAACGTGAAGGGGGTGTTGGATGGATAGTGGTTTGAGATTTTGAATTAAGGGATTAGGCTTTTTGGGGTATTTTCTTGAAGGTTCATCTTTCGAGGTTTGGGATTTTATAGTTGACGGATCAAAGATAGAGATGGGTTTAGGTTTTCAATTAGGTTTGGGTTTTCAATTATAGAACTATAGCAATTGCTTCGAGACAAAATGAGAGAATGGGGTTGAAAGGTTTGTTGATTTGGGGGATGAGAAGGAACGAAGGCGGGAAGAAAAAAAAAGATGGTGGTCTTTTAGGTTCGTTTGAGATAAAGGAAATGGTGGTCTATGGATTCGATCTATTATAAGAATACGAAAGCGAGACAAAGAGAAGAAAAAGAAAGATAGATTGTTGTGCAAAATTGAAATAGAAAGCAAATGACATACGGGTTATGGTTAGGGAGTTAGGGATTTTTAAATTTATGGGTTTGATTCTATGAAGAAGGAAAGAGAAGAAGAATAAGGAAGAAGGGAGGATCTATGGGTTCAATTCGGAAAGAAGGACGAAAAAGATGGAGGAAGAAGGAAGGATCTCTAAATAATCGATTCTATAGAAACGAGGGTAGATGAAGGAGAAAAGGAAGGAAATTTAAATGAACGAGGTACCGGGAAAATTGAAAGAAAAAAATTAAAATGAAGAACATGTCTTTAAATTGGGGATATGAAAGGGTTAGGGTTAATTTAAATTGGGGATTGGAGATTTTATTGTAATTAAGGTATATAGGATATGACATATCTTCCAAGCTTTGTAATTGATTTTTCACATCACTCGCTTACTTGGATTTTACGTGGCACATTAAGTTCAACTATCATTCTTCATCACTTAACATGTTAGCATTGCTCGAAATTTTGGTTAGAAAATCAAATTTATGATAATAATGTTATCAAGGCTTAGTTGGTGACATTTCTTATAATTTCTAAGGAACGAGCTAAAATCATTAAAACATGTATAGTTCATGATTTTCTAAAACATTAAGCCAATTGAATATGATGAGAAACATAGATTTGTTCATTACCCTAAACCCTTTAGGGTAATGATTACCTAAGGATATATTTGTTTCTTAATCTATCCATAAACAAATCATATGATTAAAGCAAGTGGTAGGTAAGCAAGTGGTAGGTCACTTGGAAAAAGTGACTTTTTCTTTCACTTCTTTCTCCCAATGAATTAAAGCAAGTTGTTTTAACTTTTTAATTTAATGGTTAAACATGTTTTTATATGATAAGATAATTATTTAATTTGTTTTATATTTTATTTTTAAATATATTTTAATTTTTTAATTTATTATTTTATCAAGATTTTTCATGTTCAAATATCAAAATTAATTTCGTAATTTACAAGTAATTATTTTTTATTTTCAAAATATTCTTATTTATTTTCAAAGTATCCTTATAAGTTAGACAATTTAAAAAATTTTATATACAAATGATATGATTAATTTTAACGATTTTTCCTAAAACAATCTTGCGAGTAGAATATTATATTGCCATCAAAAGATTCTTGACGTCATTGTAAAATCAAGAAAGTACATATATCTTATCTCAATAGCAAGATTGAAATGTTCTTGACATCTGTTGTAATGAAGACAAACACCACTTAAAGAGATAATGTTAGTTCGCACTAAAAGACAAATAATTCACGAATTATCCCAACACAATAGGTCGGCTCTTAAAAAGAAAAAAAATTGATGTAATATGGTTCGAATATGTATCCATTCTGATTGAGAAACTTTTATTTTGAAAACTGTCGGAAGGTGGAGAGATGTTAAAGATGGGATTGGATTCATTAAAAACAGAAAACAATGAGGATGAAAATAGATTGTTGTCAATTTCGACTATTGTTAGCATTTCCGTAATTTAATTAAAGTTAATTATTGGTTAAAAACTATCTTGAATTATTAGTCCAGAGGAATTTTTTTCTCTTTCTTTTGGGCAATATCTTCATTCTAACCAGTTGATCGATCTTCAATGACATTAATAGTAGGTGAAAGACACTTGAACTTTTAATATCATGACATGTACGTGTCTTAAATGAGATATTCTTGGATACATAATTGTTTCCCCGTAAACAAAAAACCATTGACATTCCCTTTATATTAATCCTAATCATAATAGCCTTAATTCATAACTATTGAAACCTTAAAAAAAATACTTACTTCCAAATAATTTCAATCATACATCTGGAATTTTATTTTTATTTTTTTCAAAACCTGTGCTATGATATTAAAGAATCACGTCCTGTCAATATTTTTGGATATTGGTCAATTAGACAAATGATGATATTATGAATAAAAATAGATTTAGAATTCAAATCAAAATAAAAAAGATTATTTTTCTATTGACCAATATTTTAGTCGAGTTTTTAAGGAGTTAGCCTTTAATGAATTCTTAGTGATAATCAATAATTAGTGTTGTAAGTAGCATAGATATGTTATTTAATATTGTTTGCATAAATCTTTCCAAACATAACCAATCAATGTCATTAGTGATCGCTAACTACATGAAATTAGAAGTACAATTCAACTCCAATCCTATGAAATTAATCGGAGTCCAAACTAATGTTTGCGAGTTCCACTGGAATTGTTCATTTGGAATGTTGTTATTTAGTTTAATTAAAGGTTTTGATTTTTTGTTTCTTTCCCCAATTCATCAAATTTAATAGGATTATGTTTTTAGATTTTCTCTATATATCTTTATCCTACATTGAAAATAAAGTTAATCATATTGAGGGTAAGAATGATAAAGTTTAACTCTTCTCAATAAATACGATTTTAAAATTCGAACTATATATATTAAAAGAAAATTCATATAAAAGCAGTCTCACTTATAATCCACTTAGCCAATAACTTGTGGGTTTATTGGATTATCTTTAAATAAATAGCCTCTTATTTTACTCCAAATCCCATCTGTAAAACATATCCATCTTGATGTCGATAGATCTAAGATGATGGTAATAATGATAAAAAATGTCAAGATTACAAAGGCTTATAACAAAAATATGTTCTTAATAAGTGAAAGGTGATGAGAGGGCTTTTTAAAAAGAAAAATATGAGAGAACATTACATTGTTACTTGAACTTCAAAAGTAGGCAAACTCAAACACAAAATTAACTATTGGTTCTTAAGATATTAACTACATGTTAGCATTTAACATAAGATTTGACAAAGCAATAAAATTATTGGTGGAGCTCCCATTTGGTCCAATGGCTTTCTTTGCGAGTTGTTGAAGTGCTCTTATGTTCTCTCTCATTTTCTTCCCCTTCTCTTGTGAAAGAATTTTATCCAAGCTATTTAACACTCCATGCTTCGTAAAGACTCCATCCTCAACTTTGAGACCAATCTCCCACACATGCTCTACTATGCGTCCATTGAGCCTTTGATCGCCAAAAAACGGCCTACAAATCATAGGCACCCCTCCTGCTATACTCTCAAGCAATGAATTCCATCCACAATGAGTTATAAACACCCCAACGGCTCTGTGTGCCAAAACTTCCAATTGCGGAGTCCAAGGCACTACTAGTCCTTGTGATGTGGTTCTGTCCAAGAATCCGTTGGGCAAATGCACCTTTGATTCGTCTTTAAGTGACCATATAAATGGCACCTCACTTGTTTCTAAGGCCTCAGCTAGCGCCACAAGTTCATGAGGTGGTGGTGTTGTGACGGAGCCAAAGCTAACATAGGCTATCGAAGCAAGTTTTTGCTTGCCAAGCCATGTTATGCAACCATATGTGTCTGCCACAGGCAGTGGTGGTGAAATCAAATTGAAGGGTCCAACGTTGAGAAAATGTTTGAATCTAGACTTCAAGTCCTTTGTTATGCTAGGGTCTAGCTCTTCAAATGAGTTAATGAAGACTGCAGCTGCTTGCTGTAACGCTGTTCCCATTTTATGTAGCATGTTTGAAAAGAACGATTCTAAGTTTCCAAAGAGCACTCCTTCTGGCAAATCACGGATTCTAATTTTGGACATTCCGGGAATTAAACTTAATGGTTCATCTTCACGCTCTACCATATCTGTGTTTACACATGTAAATTGTTAATTTCGTTAGGTTTTGACTACTTGTTCAAAAAAAGGGACACCATATCAAGAAACTTTCTTAATTAATCGAAAAGCTTACGTTGTATTGCTAAGTTCATATATATTCCGACAAGAAAAGTAATTTTATTGTAATAACTTTGGAAGTACGTACCTCCAGTTCCAAAAGTCTCCCTGATGAGATCCGTGTAAACATGAGCACAAAGTGAGATAGGTCCGGCAGTCCAGAAGGGCAGCCAAGCCACCCCTATCTCCTCCGCCATCTCACCAGCGAACCAAAAGAAGGCATCACTCACCAAACAGCTCACCTTTCTCCCTGTCTCTGACACAGCTACCTCCATGACCTTCTTGAGGCTCTCAGGAGCTGACTCCATGAACATCTCAATGTGCTCTTGGGGCTTCCCAGAAAACACGTAGCCCTCAGGGACACCATCCCACACGTCATAAGCTTTGATGTTCGGCAGCATGCTCATGTTTTGCTTGTAAATGGAGAATATAGAGTTGTTGGATTGTTGGGTGCTGAAGAAGGAGAAGTGTGTGTTTGGAGAGGAAGTGGCTAGGCGGTGGATGATGGCGAGTAATGGAGCCGCATGGGTGGCGAAAGGGAAAGCAAAGATTGCCACATGGTCGGACATTATCAAGAGTAATTGAGGAGAAACGGAGAGAAAGAGGGAGAGGTGGTGTTTAGTACTTTTGTCCTGTACGTGGTTGGGTAAGTTGTTGGGATGGATAAATGTGTGCTTATGGTCTAACCACGTACAAGGTAGGCAGATATATATATATGGAAGGGAGGAGGTCGTCTAAATGGTATAATTACGTGTATATGTACAAAATACAGCAGCCTACTTGTATATGTACAAAATACAGCAGCAGGAAAGACTGTTTTGGACCCACCAACCTTTCTGGGGAGGCTTTCATCTCCATTGATGAATGGTCGTTGATGGTGTTAAATTTGTGAGAGACGACAGCTGATGGAAAAGCATGTGCTAACCCCCGAGAAAAGGCCACTAATGTTACCATGTGTGTGTTCTTTTATTCCTACAGCAAGAAGGAATCATGTCATAGATACCTGAAAATTAGTGTACGAGAAGAAAATTCGGGATTCAACTGCTAAAAATTCGGTTGTACAAAACTTTCTTATTTATATACTCCCTCCATCCCAGATTGTCTTTTTTTTTAATTTATATATATTTCAAAATATTTGTCTGTCTTATTTTAATTTAATTAAAATTTATTTTGTAAAAAAATATTTTAAGAAAGTACGAATAAAAAATGCTGGCATAACAATTAATAACATTCGCCATTTGTGTAAAAACTAAAAAACAACAAGTTTTTATAGACATAGAGTAATTTCTAAAAATAGAGATCTAAATAGAAAGTGGACAGCAAGTCAATTAACGTAAATTTTGTCTTTTTGGTCAATAAATAACATGCTATTTTATCTATATATTATTATATATATGAATTTAATTAACATAAAAAAAAAAAAAAAAAAGAAGAAGAAGATTGCAAACCTTAAAAATAAGATGTAATATGGTGATAGTAATTGTAGTATATGTCAAGGGACAGAATTAAAATTAAAATATTTTTTTATTTAAACCCAAAACCATGCGCAAAGCCTGCCATCTTAGCAAGTAGGTGAGAAGCGATCATGAACTTTTGGTGTGAGGCTACAATTGGTAAGGATTGCAGAGTACATGGCCAAGTTTCATATTCCTAATTTTATTTTAATTTTTATTTTTTTAGTTTTATACATTTGAAACATGAATTATAAAATTTGATCTCATGTATCTCTATCTCACATTGGAGATATGACTAATAAATTATATTCAGAATAGAAAGGACGAAGTTTAACCTCTTGTATCTTCATACTATATTAAAGATAGGACTAATTACTAAAAAAATTAAAGTAAAATCATGTTTTACTACTCATGTCATTATTTAAAAAACTATTCATACACTCACATATTACTATTTCTTTCACTATTCATTTCACTTTTGTAACACTTTGGTCCTCAATTTTTTATATTTTTTTCAATTCAAACTTTAATTATATTGCGATTTAATCCCATTTTGTTTTAATTTTTTAATTATTTTTATTATTTAATATTAGCTACTTTAATTTGTCCTTTTTTTAAACTCTTTTTTTTTCAATTTCAAACTTTAATTTGTTAATTATTTTTATTATTTAAAATTTACTACTTTAATTTCTCTTCTTTTAAAAAAAAAATTCTCTTTTCTTTTTCAATTTCAAACTTTAATTATATTGTGATTTGGTCCTATTTTGTTTTATTATTTTTTGTTAATTATTTTTATTATTTAAAATTTACTAATTTAATTTGTCATTTTTTTTAAATTCACATCCAATTAATTTAAAATTATATTTACCTGACAGCTTTGATTTATTTTTCTATATGTATGGATTTTGAAATAAATTTTTAGAACATGATTATTTTTTCTTTTGAAAAATACATTTAGATAATTTTTAAATTATAATGAAATGATTAATATATATAATTTTTTTAAATAGATTTTTAGATTAAAAATGTATTCCAAATAATTTTTTTGCAATTTTTTATATTATTTAAAATTTATTACGTTAATTTATCATATTTTTTTAATTTTAAACTTTAATTATATTGTGATTTGGTCTATTTTGTTTTAGTTTTTTTGTTAATTATTTTTATTATTTAAAATTTACTACTTTAATTTGTCATTTTTTTTAAATTCTCATTCAATTAATTTAAAATTATATATATTGACAAGTTTTGATTTATTTTTTTTATCCGTATGGATTTTGAAATAAATTCTTAGAACATGATTTTTTTTTCTTTTGAAATATAGATTTAGATTTTTAAAGTACTATATATAATTTTTTTGAAATACATTTTTAGATTAAAAGTGTATTTCAAATAATTTTTTCTCAATTTTCTTTATTATTTAAAATTTACTACATTAATTTGTCATTTTTTTTAAATATTTTTTTTTTCAATTTCAAACTTTGATTATATTGTGATTTGGTCCCAATTTATTTTAGTTTTTTTTGTTAATTATTTTTATTATTTAAAATTTACTACTTTAATTTGTCTTCTTTTTTTTTTAAATTCTCATCCAAATAATTTAAAATTATATTTATTGATAGTTTTGATTTATTTTTCTATATGTATGAATTTTGGAATAAATTTCTAGAACATGATTATTTTTTCTTTGAAAAATAAATTTAGATAATTTTTTAATTATAGTGGCATGATTAATATATATAATTTATCTATAATACATTTTTAGATTAAAAGTGTATTTTAAATTATTTTTTCTTGGTTTTTTTAAGAAAAAAACTCAAATTAATTAATTAATAGTTGAAAGTAAAATGTGAAAAATAAAAAGAAGATGGTTGCTCTCGCACGTGAGGCTTATATTCAAGGACTAACCATGCATAACATAGAAATAAAAAAAAATATTTAAGAAGGAGGAAAAAAAAGAATTCACATGTTTTACTAATTTGTTTCTTCTTTATATAATCAAAATTAATTGAAATCAAATTTGTAATAATTTTTATTTTAGTCTATTAACTTCAAATTTAGTCAATAGATTCCCGACAAGTTAATTTTTTTTATAGTATTTTTTTTTTAGACTAAAAAGTCTAAACTCACTTAGTATAGTTATGATATATAAAAAAATATTGAATCGTTGTTTTTTTTAGAAATTAACTATGCAACTACTACTACACTAAGCATTTATTATTTATTTATTTATTTTTGAATATTTTAAAATTAACTTATTTTAAACTAAATAATTAAAATTATGTTTTGGCTTAACCACTCAATGATTCAAATTAATATAGTTTTTATTTTAATATTATTCATTCTTTTGTAAATAAATATATAAAAATTAAATTCATATTTTCAAAAACCGATATTCTCATCAACATTAATAAAAAAAAACAATTTTTTTAATTCTATCTAGGTTTTTAATAATTTTTATTTATGTTTTTTGACACAATCTTATAAAATACTAAAGTTTTTAAAAAATATATATTTAATTTTCTTTTCGAGATAATACTTCATGGATTAACAAGGATAAATCCTTTTTCTAAAGGAAAAATTATGAAAAACACAAATAAGAAATAGTTAAATACAAATTTTTTTATTAAAAAATTATAAATAATTTTTTTCATCTTTGATTTCATATATTGTTATATATTTACATCATAAAACAGTACTATCAAACCGAAATGATTTTTCTAAATGATTTTATATATTTTATTAAATCCACAACATAGTGCAAGCAAAAAAACTAGTTATATTCGAAAAAAAAAAAACGACAAAGTTTAATCTCTACCAACACATCTGATTTCAAGATTGAAAACCTACATATTGATAGAAAATTTGCCCGAGATAAGCTCGCTTACCACTGGCATGCATGCAAATTAATTTAGAAAAGAATTAAAAATAGAAATTCAATTTAATAGATTAAGTACATGTGATGTGATAATGTTTTTGTTCTTGAAAGGCAATAAATAAAAGTTAACTTGGAGAGAATTTTAAAGAATTTTGTGTTGGTCTAGGTGGGTTTAATTCTATGATAATCAAATTTATAGGTCATTAATGTAAATTCTACTAATAGGCCAATTGATTTACAAATTTACCATCATTGTTTCTTTCTCAAAATATGTAATTATTAGCATAAAAAAGTCAATGGTGCTGGTATTATTGAAAGTTCCGACCCCCGTAATTTTAATATATATCACACCCTCCTTAATGTATTTATCAATTTGATATTATGTTATGGCGCAGATTGAACAGAATAGAAGAAATCAATTTTAAAAAATAATTCTAATTTGATGGTCCACATCGCATTGCAGTACAACAAACATATACTGAATCAAAAATAAAATATATATATATTTTTCACATAATTTTAATTTTTTATTTTATATTTAATTAATTTTTTATTATTTTTTAATAGATTTCCTAAAGAAAAGTGTAATTTATTTGTCTTTACGCATAAATTTTTGAATGAAAAATTTTATAATTTGAAAAGTGAATTTCAATGAATCAAAAATCTAAAAAAAAACCTTAATATTTCTTTTTTTTAATAATATTTTATCAAAAAAAAATAAAGCAACAATGAAAGTAAAAAATTTCATAAAAATTAAATAAAAAAACTTATTCTTATAGAATATTGATTGGAAGATTATTTTTTGAAAGTATGTACATTAGGTTTATATATATATAATCAATAATATTATTATAAAAAATTTATATTTGAAATGTATGTTATCATCCTTTGATTTTTTAAAATATTATTGTAAATATTTTATTTGAGAAAAAAATAATTTTAAAATACCTAAAAAAAAATTTAAAAAAAAAACTTATTCTTATGGAATATTGATTGGAAGATTATTTTTTGAAAGTATGTACATTAGGTTTATATATATATATATATATATATATATATATATATATATATATATATATATATATATATAATCAATAATATTATTATAAAATAAAATCTATTTGAAAAGTATGTTATCATCCGTTGATTTTTTAAAATATTATTGTAAATATTTTATTTGAGAAAAAATAATTTTAAAATACCTAAAAATTAAAAAAATAAATAGTAAATATTCAGTGTTTGGGTGTATATGCTTAGTTAATTTCTAATTAAAAAACACTATAAATTTGATTTTGATTAATTTTGATTATATAAAGAAAAAGTAAATAAAACTCATTGATTCCATTTCTTTTTCTTAACAAATAATTTTGTCTTTAAGTCACACATTGCGTGATCCCAATGCATAGGCCTTACACGTATAACAATCCTTGTCATTTTTTTGAATTCCTACTTTTAATCATTAATTTTTTAAAAAAATAATTTTAATCAAAAAGTTGAGAAAATGTTTATTTATTACACTTCCAGCTTTTAGGTTAAACATATATATTTAAAACCATGGTAGTCTAAATTAAAATATAAAAATTCTTCATATAAACCATATTTTTTTATCTATTAAAAAATAATCATGTTTGTAAAAAAATTATTTCAAAATCAAGACATAGAGAAAAATAAATCATATTTATAAATAAATAAAATTTAACAAAAACGAATAAATTGGATGAAAATTTTCATAAAAAATTTTAAATAATAAATATAATATAATTTGAAATATATGTTAATCTTAAAATATAAAATCGCATCATTAATATATTTTTCTTGCTAGGCTGCGGAAAACAAATATATATATATATAGCAAAAAACTACACAATAAAAATAATTACCTAAAAAAAGCCACACACAAGAAATCAAGATGGGCCTGTTGTGCCAAGCCTGCAGTCATAGGCCTAGAGAACCAAGTCCAGGCAAATACAGGCTGGACATGCGCGGGCTAGCCATTTACAGGGAAAAAAAAATGAAAATAGGAAACGACACCTCACCCGCACCATGTGCAGGTGAACACGCACCGTCCGCTTGCAAATTTCGACAAAATTTTGACCGTCAAAAAGTTAGAGCACTACATTCTGGCCTCTCAAAACCCCCAATTCCACTGTCTTTTTTTTTTTTTTTTTTCTAGAAACCACATTAAAATCACTATAATTAGCTCAACAAGCTTGTTTGAAATTTTAAAACTCATTTTAATGCACCTAAAAAACATAAATATTTAAATCAAATTCAAAGATTCAAAAACGTTTTGAAACATAAATTTTCATCTAAATTGTAAACATTGTAGAAATGGATACATCAAAGTTGGAGCCTTAAACAACTTGTTGATGTTACCTCTAAATAATTTTTTATATCAATTTTAATATCAAACTATCAGAAGTTTTCAATTAAGAATTTTATCCATTTTAAGACTTTTTCTTTATATTTTCATCAAAATTGTAATTTTTTATATTTTTTCTTTTTGAAAAAAACGACATCATTTTATAGAGAACTTAACTGTTTACGTTAAATATTCTAATAAAAAATTAATAGAAAAATCAAAATAGTTTGATAATTAAATTGATGATATTCCAATCGTTTGGTGGCATATTCGCCTCAACCAGCTTGTTGCATATCCAACTAGACCACAAAAAGAAAAACAAAAAAGGAATCCGACCTGCCGGATTCGAACCAGCGACCTAAGGATCTCTACAAGGATTTCACCTACTACAGTCCTCCGCTCTGCCAACTGAGCTAAGGTCGGTTGATAGCCATCGCGAGAGATTGGATTTATTTAACAATAATTTACGTACGTTAAGGCATTCAACTTGTTTGGATAGCCTTTTTACTGTTGCTGTAACTATTAAATATGGCTATGCGAAGTTGATATTTATCAAGAGTTTGTTTGCTTTGTCAACTTTGAATGAGAAAAAAATAAATTTTAATAAAAATAATTTGATGTAATTTTCCTTGCACAGAATTATTACGAAAATCAACATTGGATTTATGTTTCATCACTAATTTTTTAACATCTTTTGTCATAAATCCGTTATTAAATGCAAATAGCGACTGATTTTTATTGGCAAAAAAAGAATGCTGTATCAAGAAAAAGGCAAAAAAAATACGTTAACTTAACTAATATGTGTGTGTATAGATAACTAACAATGGCCACCATATAATTGGATAATTAGCAGAAAAACTTACTCAGCACAATTGAAGTTTCTGGAATGGGAATGTCCATTTGAACCTTGCACTTTGTGGGTAGAGAAGCGGCAGCATCATCCTTAATATCTGAAATGCGAGCAGCAGCTGCCTTGACACATTCGCATGCAGCTTGCTTATCTGCAATGGTGACAGCACTGTCCTTCAATTTACCCACCCCAGCACAACATTGCGGTGGAGGGAAATCGCCACCTTTTCCAGTGAGGTAGGAAACGCAAGCAGCCAAGTCTGAGTTCACGTCCCCGCAGGTGATGGCGTCTCCTGGCTTAACCATGAATTGAACCATGGCTAACAAGATCAGCACAGAAATGATAGCTCCCTTCATTTTCAAATATTGCTAATGTGTAAGTGCTCGACTTGGATTAATTTTTTGAGCTTCTACTTCTGTGGGCTTTCTGTAGGATGAATTGAAGTGGAGCCTCAAAGGGGCATATATAACCTAAGGTGGTGAAGGAAGAAGTTAAAATTGGTGGGTTGTGTGATCATGCATGGTTCATCTTGGATCCATGGCGTAACAAAATCAGTTCCATTATTTTGGCTGCTTTCCTTAAATAGTAAAAACGAATTGGAGAAGCTTTTGGCTCACGTTCCCTTCTCCTGGATAGCATTTCGCTTCCCAAGAATCTTAACGGTTTCCATGAGGAATGACATTTAAGGATGGAAACGGAGACGAAGCCAAGCTTAACTTTTGGAAGCAGATATTATCTTGTTGGATCTAGCACTCATGGACTCCTCATGATTGAAAGGTTATAGTATCTTTTTAATTTTAAAAACCATGGTAAAAAATTTAATTTAGTCTCAAACCTATATACTAATTGAGTTTTATATTTATAAATTTTATCAATTAGGTCCCAAACATTTCAGAAAAAAACAATAATAATAATCTAGTCTTTCTAATAATGTTCATTAATTTTTTTAAATTTTTTTTCAAAATAATGTCATTTTAATGCATATATATGCACATTAGGCTTGAAGAGGCTAAGCTCGACTTTTCTGCGGCGTTTCTGACAAACCATAGTTTGTCAAAAATTGCAGATCCAATTTTTTTTCCTTCTTCTTCTTCTGCTTCTTTTTTTCGACCACTTAGTATGACCATATATGTGCAAGTTGGAACCAGGCCCAAGCACATGCAGGCCTGCTCTTCGGCTTTTTTTTTTTTCAATAATTAATATTTTTTAATGGATTTTTAGGAAAAATTGAGAAAGATCAATTTATTTATTTTTTGTCTTTCATGCAATCTCGCGAGAATAAAATATATATTATATGTTTTACATAATTTATCTGAAATTTTTTTATTTTCATTTTATACTCCACACTCTCAATCCATTTAGTATGATCATGATTTATAAGAAATATTAAATCATCAATTTCATTAAAAATTAACAGTGCATATATACACATAACATCAACTTTTTATTATTACTTTTTTAATATTATAAAACTAATTTCTTTGAAATAAAATAATTAAAATAATTTTTTAAAAGAATCATCAAATGATTCAAATATATGTTTTTGTGCTAATATTATTGATTATTTTTTGAATAAATATATATAAATTAAATGCATATATTTTCAAAAAATAATTTTCCCATCAACATTAGATAAGAATAAAATTTTATTTTTTTATTTGTTAATTTTATACAAGTCTCGTCCATTAATTTAGCTTTATTTTTTGGAAACAATTTTATGTAAAATGTATTTTAAAAGTGTTTTTTTTAATTCTATATTAATATTTTAGTTTAAATTATTAATTATAGGTTTTTATTTAAGAATCAATGCATAAATAAGAATGAATTGTGTTTTTTTTTATGTAGAACATTTATGAAAATCATAAGAAAAACTTAATTGAATAAAAAATCTTAATTATAAAATTTTAAAATGATTTTGTTTTATCTGATTCAGCAGCTAGTTTGAGCAACCATGTAGTTGGTTACTAAATTATGGTTAGGAGGCTAGAATTGGATAATCAACGACTAGGTGGAATTTTGGTACCAAGATTTTTTCTTTTTTCTTTTTTTTTTCTTTTTTTTTTTTTTTTTTTTGGGACTTTGGTATGTAGATGTACGTGTTCAGTCTGAAATTGATCTTTGCTTGGATATGCCACTAAGACTCTTAATGACCAATAATTATCAGTAAATCACTTTATAGATCACTTGGATTCCTTGTATTCTTGTGAATAAAAGTTCTATTAAGTGCTGGCCCTACAGAAGAATGGTGCTTTTGTTATGGATTCCTTGCTTCCTTTCCTGTTCATTTAGGAGCAGATTTAATTTTTGAACTCTCTTAGAAAAAGTAAGTTTATAAGTTTTAATTGTTTAGACTTTTCCAAAAAGGGTACGTAAGCACTCTCGACTGAACCATCAGTAATTATAAGGGTCATATTTAATTTGTTCTTAGCTTTAAAAAATGAGACAGAAATTGTGATTTCAATTTTAAATAGAAATTTAATTCAAAATTTTTATTCTTATTTAAAAATAAATCACAAAAAAAAATAATAATAATAAATGTTTCAGCTGAGAATTTTAATAAACATGTCATGGGCACTATGATTACCATTTGCTAGAAGGAACGTAGTGGTAGAAGAAAAGAAAAGAAAACAGAGAGAAATGGTGATTCTATTCTACTTGTTTCTTGACAAGGCCTAGTTGTTAATTAGGCCTGGGTTTTTTTCTTTTTTGGGTTGGGCAATTACGTCGGCCCGTTGAGTTATTTTTATGGGCTTAGGATCCAATAGTTATGTATAAAGGTATTCAAAAAGAAATTTAGGGTTGGATTTATTTATCTGGGCTCACTGTCGTTTTTCCAAAAGAAATTAGCTGGTGCATTCTTTTTATATATATATATATAATAATGTTGCAATGCAATCAAAAATATATGGAAAAGAAATAGGAAAAAAAGATGCACTCTAACCAATGAAGTTTTAGTTGTTTTATAAACATAATATGAAAACAACCAAGTTGTTGGTTAGTAAAAAGCGAACTAGTTTTTATACGAATATTTTATCAATATGTAAATTTCGAATTTGAAAATTATATTTATTAAAAATAGTTAAATCTTATCTTTTTTGCCTCAAACAAAATTAATCTTATTTTCGATGTAAAATGTGGATACCCTAGCCACAAAAAAAACATATATATATAAACATCGAAACTTTAGAATCATGCTTTACCTAGTGATTAGGAAAAAAAACTACTAAACCTAATTATAATTTATGGTTTTTTTTAGTAATTTTATTTTCTTTATCAAACTAAAAATGTTTAAAATACACTAACTGAGATCCATGTTTAAAACACACTAATTGAGATCCATAAAACATGGATCATCTTCTTTTAAAAGAATGAATCCATTTTTTTACATCATATTGCATGTTCTTCTCATTCATGTTGCTAAATTTTATTTTATTTGTTTTAAAATAGTTTTATGTACAGATTTATTTTTAAATAGTTTAAAAAATATTTTTTTTTAACACGTGTTGTATACAAGGGCAGAGCAAGAAGGTTGTAAGTGGGAGTCTTAGTTCTCCCAAACAATTTAAAAATCTCTGAAGATATATAAGTATGTTAGGTGTAATCCCCACAAAATAAGAACCATATCTACATGGCAGACAATAGAATTTTTTACTCGATATTAGTTGGAATCATATTAGGCAATGTCTCTACTATGAAAGGCTGTTGAAAGGAAAAACAATTAAAATTAAAACAATTTTATAGGAGCTAGAAAAATAAAGGGATGAATATAGAAATTGTTTAGACCTCAACTATAAAAAAATAGTTTTAACTTTACTTTTTTTTCTTTTTCAACAAAAAAAAAATAGATGAACGAGATTAAGAAAAAGAAAAAAATATGAGGTTAACACCTGTTACAATCATGTGAAGATAACAATGCGATTAAACATTTAGTCCAAAAAATTAACAGAAAAATGAACTCAAGACATAAATCAAACAGAGAGAGATGAATTTAAAATAAAATAAAATAAAGAAACACTAAAAAAAAAGAGTAAAATACATCTACAAACATTAATCCTATATTTATATTTTGATAATTTGACCATACTTATTTTCATCTTATTACTTAAATTAGCCTTTTACAGTGAAAAACCAAATTAATTTTTTAATTAAGACAAATAAAAAATGAAACTCTTTTTTTATTTCTATTTCTTTTATTTTTACTAAAACCACGTGGGATTTTCTTTTAACATATAATAAAAAGCTATATTTTCAATTAAAACCAAACAATCTATTAGAAATTAAAAAAAAAAACAATAATATAAATTAGTTAAATAACACACGTGTGAATCAAGTGTCAAAAACCAGTAGTTATAATAGAGGCTTTGAGTTTAATTTTACAATATAGGTATATCAATTTTTAACGTTTTCTCAATCGAGTATATGAATTTTAATTTTTAACGTGTGCATCAACTTTTTCAAAATTTTCAATTAAGTATTTCTATCAATTTTTTCATTAACCGATGACGTGTCTCATATCCTCAAAATACAAAATTATAATTTCACCATTTTTTCTCAATCGAATACATGAACTTTAATTTTTTTCTATTTGACTACGTCAACTTTTTTCAAAACTACAAATCAAGTATTTCCATCACTTTTTTTTGGTTAATCGATTACGTATTCAAATATGAAATTATAATTTTACTCTCTTGTTGTTGAAGTAAACTTTCTCCCCAAATTATTTTACTATTTTATAATTTGACAAATATTTGAAAAAATTATATAATTTTATCTTCAAAATTTCAAACTAAACTCAATTAGGTTGCTCGTTAAAAAAAAAACTTAATTAGATTTAAAAGTGAAAATTGAAGAAAAACACAAATGAATCTTCATGATGAAAAATCTCATGTTCGTGTTTCCTTCAATTTTCACGTCCAAAACCTAATTGATTTTTTTTTTTTAACAAGCAAGCCATACTAAGTTTATTTTGAGACTTTATAACTAAAAGTATTTTTTTAATTCATTGTTAAATTTTAAAATGATAGAATAATTTAAAGAGAAAGCTTCTTAAAATAAAAAATAAAAATAAATGCAATTTGGTATTCGGATACATCAACGGTTAATAAAAAAATTGATGAAAGTATTTAATTGATAGTTTTAAAAAAATTATTGTACTCAATCTTAAAAAAATTAAAGTTCATGTACTCCATTGAGAAAAAATATAAAATTATAATTTGGTATTTTGATAACAATGGATACATCATCGATTAACGAAAAAATTGATAAAAAAGTATTTAATTGATAGTTTTGAATAGGAAAATTAATGAAAGTATTTAATTGATAGTTTGAAAAAATGGTGTACTCAATCTTAAAAAAA